CTCGACGTCCGTGCCTCAGGGATGCCGCCGCACATCCTTGCCCGCCAATACGGCAACGCGCCAGCCCACCACGACCTCAAGGAACCCCCCCGAGCGCCTTCAGGCCCCGGGGGGGAGTCTCCACAACCAGGCCAAGCAGGTTACCAGGGTCAATGGCACTTTCCACCGAGGCCGCGGCGCGTCCCCAGGCAGGGACTGCCTGACGGCACGAGGCGGCCACCTGGGTTCACAGGAACGGGGATGCCCGAAGAACCGTTCCCCGACCAACCTCTCTGGAGGGAAGGCTACGTGCTCTTCGGCCCCCACCAGGCCCTCAAGGAGGAATTCACCTTCAACAAGACGGTCCGCCGACCCTACTCCCTAGCCATCACCAACATGTACAGGGACCGTGTCTCGGTCAGGACCGTCTGCGAGTCGATCGCCGAGCGCATCCACACTACCCGCACCCGCTGGCGAGATGTGGTACTGTACTGGGACGCCGAGGGTGGTCCTGGGCCTCAAGCCCTCGACTACGACATGCGACTCTGCGACGCCATGGTGAGCCGTGCCACGACCGAAGCCGAGCTAAACCACGATCGCAGCAACCGTGGTAGTTTCTGTCTCTATGGACCAGCGCACCAGCGAGCTGTAAACATCACGGCGATCTCCGAGCCGCAGAACATTGACTACACGGAGCATGTGCGGCGATACTCACCCGTAGGGGAGACCTACCCAGACCACGCCTTCGTGCACGTCTATCGGGGCTGGCAGCGGCCTGACGTGCCCACCATCCTTCCCGACACCCGCCCCCTCTCGAGAGCCGACCAGCAGCGATGCCAACAGCACCAGCAGCGCATGCAGCAGCGCGACCAACGCGACGCAGGAGAGCCGAGCACGCCACGCTACCGCTCTCCCGCGCGCGTCCCGACAGGCGGCAGCACGGCCTACGGCGGGGCCGCCGCCTATCACCGCGGCCTCATTGGCGCCAGGCCCGCGGCGGCTGGAGCAGCCGCCTCCAGCTACGGCCATGCCCCTCACGCCAGGGTGCACCCAGCGGTCATCGGCCACCCGCGTGCACTAGTGCAGGCCCCCCCCCGGGCCACTTCACCCGTGCCAGGGTCCACGCGCGCCTGGGGCAATTACCCAGGCCGCCATGACGGCACCCCCAGCAACCAGCCCGCAGTAGTAACCCCTGCGGCTTCAGCCCAGGGGGCTGCAACAAACCGTGGCAGGACAGGGCGCCCTGAAGGATGGCGTGATGCGAACGTGCGTGCTTGGCAACCGCGCCAGCACACGCCCCCGCCAAACGTGGCTGCAGCGCTGCGCCCTGCCCAGGCAAAACCTGCCCCACCTGAGCGGGAGAGGCTGCCGCTTGTCCCGCTCGTCCTCACGTACACCCAGGCGCATCACAGCGCCTCCCCGCGGCACAGCGAGGGAAGCGCCCATCACGTCAGCCCCCGCCTCGACGCTGTCGACCCTCACCAGGCCACAGCCACGGCGGAGGGCGGCACAAGCGGTTCCCGCCAGCCCAGCCCATCACCCTGCGCGGCGCCGATCCGCTCCCCGATCAGGGCGGACTCCGAGCGCGCTAACGCCCAAGCGACCTCGCCACGCGACCGCCACACGGGCGGGCGCGTCCAGCGCAGCAGGTCCTGCAGCCGCCACAGCTCACGCAAGGCCCCTGGGAGCTCCACGAGCTCGCCGCCTCGCGAGGCTCAGACCGATGGCCGAGCCCCCGAAGTGGTGCCACGTTTCGGTGCCAGCGCCATCGAACCTGGCCAGGTCGATCTCGAGCCGACGCCGTCCACGGACCACGAGCTGCCGCTGCCCACCCGCGTGGTCGTCCCCATCGACGAGGCGCCGACCTTCGACCCGTTCAAGAACAAGTACCGCGTCAAGGACCTTGCGGCGGGTTTCGGCGGCGGCTCACCGCTCTCACCTCAGTGTCGGGGCGGAGCCCCCGCCACCTCAACCGCTGCCGCGGCAGCGGTGGCCCCGCGTGGAGTCAGCCCTGTCCGCAACACGGGCCTCACGGCAGCGGGCATGGACGAGGCCCAGCGCCAGGCCACCGACCGCGCTGCTCGAGCTGTTCCACCAGATGCTGCTCATCACGGTACTGCCGGGGCGGGCGCGCCGCCGCAGGACGGACCAGCGGTGTCGCGTGCGCAGTATATGCGCGTGCGTTGTGCCGCTGCCGCGCCGAGCCGCCGCCGCTGGTTCGCTGTGGTTTTTGTGTTTGGCAGGACGGATCGAGGAGTCGCCTCCCTCTCCCTCTGTTGCCGTCTCGACTCTCCTCCCCTTGTCCCCTATGGTACAGGAGTTAGGAGGATTTTTCGAGGCAGTTTTACTGATGTTTATGAACCCCCCCTGGCGCAGTGCCGACATGTCTCGCCTATACTTCTGGCCTGACGGCGGCTTCAGCCCCGGTCAAGCCAATCCATAGGAACGCCATGAGCTCCTACTGTGGCCAAGCCTGCTACCTGGGGGAGAGTCAGGCTGACCTACACCGTGCAGGGCGTGCTAACCCCAGCTCCACCGATGGAGACGGGCCAGGTCGCTCCATACACCTCGTCAGCCTAAACATCACCAGTCTCCCAGCGAACTGGCCAACCATCACCGCTCTTGGTGTCGACCACAACGCCGCAGTCATAGCACTGCAGGAGACCCGACATGCCAAGCCGACCAGACAAGCCATCGTTACCAGCGCCGCCAATCCACACCACGGGGGGTACCACGCCAGTCTGGGACCTGACCTGGATCTGGCGCGAGCCCAGCGCAGAGCTGCCCACGGCGGCACAGACCACACCGTCGTGGGCAACACTGGTGCCTCGGGAGGGGTCGCCATCCTCTCTAAGGATGCCATTGTCGACTCCACTGTCGACGACACTGCGCCCTGTATTGTCACCCTCAAGGCCAAGAAAAGATGGCACGAGGCCTTCCTCCCGATCTGCACTCAGCACCGCCGCAGGCGGCGACGAAACAACCACGGGCCCGCTGGGATCTACATAGCGAGCCTCTACGGGGTAGCTGGAGGAGACAGCACAGACCTGTTTCGACTCGCTGACTGTGCCGCCGCAAGGGTCGGCTCAGCCCCGTATTTCATCTGCATGGACGCCAACACGAACATCGACGACAATCCACACCTGCTGCACATGATGCAGCGAGGATGGTTTAACGTCGCTGAGGGCACACAGACCACACCATGCACACATACGGCAATATCCCTGACTGGGACCGCGTCACCAAGTGCCCCCGCACTTCGCGCATCGATTATATCATCGCCAACCAAGCGGCGCGATCCCTTGTCACCGACTTCTGCTATCTGCGCGACTTGCCAGCGAAGTCCCATGTGGGCCTGCAGGTCACGCTCGACCTCAGTCGCCTCGACCATACGGCCCGACGCCTTCTTGCCCCCACGCCCTACCCCCCAACGATGGAGCTCACGAGGGCCACGAACTGCAGGCATTAGGGACCCTCATCGCTGGGCGATACCAGGACCGCATGGAGCAGGCCGACACACGCGACGATGTGGAACGCATGTTCGCCCTGGCTAACGAGGCCAGCCATGAGTACCATCTCACCCGTCTGCGCGACCTGCCACCTCCACCGCCAGACCACCCAAAAAAGAAGGCCCCCACCATGCACGGGCGCACGCCCACGTTCGTGGAGCGACCCGTTGTCCCCCGCGCTTTTCCCACCTACGGTGCATCCACGATACACATAAACCGTCTGCGCAAGCTCCATCGGCAACTTTGTGAGCTTCGCTTCATCGGACAGCACCACCATCTCGACTGCCGTGCCATCCCGCCGTACCTGGCGCAGCGCATCGACTGCACGTGGACCGCGGCCCGCCTCCTCTGTCACAAGCTGCGCCCCGCGGTTCTCCTGGCCTTTCCCGAGGCCTGGACCCCCGACGAGCCAGCACCTCACGGAGAGCACCTTGACTGTCTGATCCAAAACCTCGACTCAGAGCTGGCGCGACGTGCAAACCGTGCCAAAGCTGAACGCATCAAGATATGGGCTGAGGGCGTCCGCGAGCCAAGCGGGCGAAAGGCGGCCATATACGCACGGGCTGCTGACAGCTCGCCCACGGCGTATCTCCGCACGCCTACCACACCTGACGATACGCAACTCCACTGCGACACCAACGCCTTCAAACCTGACAAAGCTTGCACGGACGATAGCGACGCTGACACCGAAGCTGGCGGCTTCAGCCCCAGCGACGGTAGTTCGCCCGACACGGACAACGACGAAGACCACACTTGTGAACCACCACCTGCACAGGTCCCCGACATTCTCCCTGCCAACGCCATTGTTGCTAATACCAAAGACATGCTTAAGCTCATGGTCGACACCTGGGAGCCCATCTTGGGCAGGTACCGCGCCCGTGCGGGGCATGACGCCGAAGCCATGCCGACGTGGGCTGACTTCTACGACGAGTACCGACAAGAGCTGCCTACGCCATCACCAGCGACCCCTTTCCACCTCACCGACGACCAACTCATCCACTTTATTCGCACCCGTTCACCGTGCCGTGCGGGGGGACTTGACGGTTGGACAACTAAGGAGGCTAAGGAGTTACCCGACGACATTCTTCGCCTCTTTGCCAGCGTCTTACGCGCTATGCAACGCACTGGCACCATCCCAGAACCCCTCCTCCATGTGCCAAACCCGTGCCTCCGAAAA